CAATAGACTGCAAGCCTTAAGACAAAAATATTAAGTCTCATTAGAAAGGAGATAAAGTATATATTTTAATAAAATCTGTGAAGTAATATAATGGAATAAAAGATAAGTATGTGTGATAGTTTTTAAAAAATGCAGATTTCAGAAGTTTTGAATGTACACCTGGAGAATTTTGAAATGAAGATTATTAAAGAAGAATTCAGATAACATAAAGTTTTTTTTTTCTGTTTCTTTATTTGTAAGTTACCAAGCCCATTTTTGTGGGACAAAAAGTTTTTCAAAATGTCAAATTTAATGAGTTTTCTTCTGTCTTCCTTTCCCCTCACTGGAATTAGTGTTTATTCCCAGTAGTATTTCTCTGCTTGCAAGAGCTTAGTTAGTTAGTGCACCATTGATTGTGTCACCAAACAGGTGGGTGATTAATTACCATGACCAAGTAAGACCTGAAGATTTTCTATTTCTTTGTAAATCTTTACCCTCAAAGTCTCCATCTAGGAAAAATTGTAATCAAATTGTCAAATTGCATTTTTAAAACTCCACGGTTTTTGAGCTATGGTCGAATAGAGTGTAGTCTTTTTTATTTTTGAGACAATGTCACTAAATTGACCAGGCTAAGCTTAAACTTGGACCCTCCTGCTTTGGATCCACAGTTCTGAGATTATAGGTAAATTAGTAGTCTTATGTGTATGTTTGGCAGCAAATGTTCTTGCTTATACCGATAATGAAAAAAAATATAAGACTTATGATGCTTAATCACTTAATTTCAAATCACTTTAATATCTATATAACAGATTTTGTGTGTGTGTGTGTGTGTGCGTGTGTTACCACAAATTGAACCCAGGGCTTCATACATGTTAGGCAAATGATTTTTTACAGAGCTGCAGCCCAGCCAGCAGATGTTAAGCTTATGAGAGGGGTGGTGGTTGTTGGTCAGTTGTCTGACACTGACAAAGTACCCAAAATAATTATAAGAAAGATCTATTTTCGGGCCGGGGAGATAGCTCAGTAGAATAAGTGCTTGCCTGGCAAGCAAAGGGTCCTGAGTTCAATCCCCGGTACCACCAAAAAAAAAAAAAAAAAGAAAGAAAGAAAGATCTATTTTCAGTTCATGGTTTTACCCCATAAAAGCAAAAGTAAAGACAGGAAGGCACCAGGATCTAAATTTTCCCTTCAAGGGCATTTCCCAAGGACCTAACTTCCTCCAGCTCAGCCCCAACTTTAAGGTCCCACAACCTCCCAAATGCATCCAGAGGGTGAACCAAACCTTTACCACATAGGGCTATGTACAAATCCCTGCAAATATCTGGTCATTTTATGTATGTGTACACATTCTCCTAGGGAGAAGTTCCTCTAAGAATAAGTTGAACCTGTATACTCCTAAAGATGGAGAAGGGAAAGTATAAGGTACAGTAAGCCCAAGAATATCCTGTTTCTCTGTCATTCAAAAAAAGTTTGATTGCTTTTGAAACCCCAGTACTAAAAAAGCACAATGCTAGGCACATAAAGTGCACCTTTGACAGAAACTATCTCCTCCCTTTCAGAGCTTACCTGAATTTGTACAGGAAACAAAATGGAAAGAATTCGGGCTTGGGTAATAAGGTGAAAATTAAAATTCTGAGCAGAAAATACCTAGGAGGATCTTGCTATGCAGTTCAGGCTGGTTTTGCACTGGTTGTTAGCCTCCTACCTCAGCCTCATAACCAATGAGACAATAGGTGTGCGCCACCACACCTGGCTTGAATCCTGTATTTTTTAGGTACATACTAAGTCTAGCAACCTTAATTTGAGGAATTTCTAAATCTTATCACATAATGCCAAGTGGTTTGTTTGTTTTTTTTTAATTTTATTTATTTATTGTGTGTGTGTGGCCAGCTCAGCCCACCAGGGGGCGGGGCTGGCTGGCATGTGGTGCTGGGGGATTGAACCGTGGTCCCTGGGCTTCGCTAAGTTTGTTCCAAGTAGGTGCCCTAGACCACTGAGCCATCTCACCAGCCCCAATGCCAAGTGGTTTAAAAAGCATCATGTATTCTTGTGAGCCTGCACTCTGGACTGAGCTGAGTTTGATGGCTGTTTGTCACTGCAGTTCTGGGGGCTGCCTGCCTGGTACAGCCTTTGTTTCAGGTGTTTTTCATCTTCCTTGAACCAGGCAACAACGTCCTCATGGAGATCCCAGATACACAAGAACGAGCAGAAACATTTAAAGACCTATATTCCCTGCTGGCACAGTCCTATCCATGTGCCTTTAGCCAAAGCATATCAAGAGGAGAAATGTACTCTGCCCAGCAAGAAGTCAGCAAGCCAGGCATGATGGCATACGCCTATGAAGCCAGCACTCTTGGAAGCTGCAGCAGGAGGATCACAAGTTCAAGTCCTGCCTAAGCAATTTAGCAAGACCCTATCTCAAAAGAATAAATTAAAAGGCTGGAGAAGTATAAGCAGGGGTTTAATACCACTACAACGTACACTTTAAAAAAAGCCAAGATGGGAAATTTTGTGTGCACTTTAACACAATTTAACAAATTAGAAAAATCTTTAGGAGTATAATAAAGACAAAATATGGAGAGGCTTCCAACTTAAAAGCTAGAATATTGATCTCACAAGTTCTTCTCAACTCTCCCTCTTGACAGTCTGGGACACTTGGAATTTCTCCTAATTATAAATCTCTCATCTCTGCATTTTCAGGCATACTATTTTTTACACCTGAAACACTTTCCCTCTCTCTCACTTGAGTAATCTCTAAACTCTACTCATCCTTCAACTCACAGATTATATCTCACCTTTCTCAAAAGAAATCTTCCCCTGGTTATGTGTCTCCTTCCAATGTGCCCTCCAAACACCTAGTATTTACTTTTCTTTTCCTTCTTTTTTTTTTTTTTTGGCAGGAATCAAACTCACAACTTCATGCTTGCCAGGCAGGAAATGTGCCAATGAGCTATATCCCCGGTCCTCCTGGCATTTACTTTTACCATCATAGCATCTGTACTTACCTATGTGTTTAATCACAGATACATTAATATATTTCTGTCTTCCAGATAAGTGTCTTACTGTCTTTAGTGCCTAATATTAGGCAGATTTAGTAGCACTTATTAGGCAAATCAAAAGGAAAGAGGAGTATCAGGTATCCAAACTAGACTCCCTCCCAGGTAGGAGAGAAAAACTACCTAAGCAGATCTCTTACTCTTACCTTCAGTAGCACTGCATTCAACAGGAAGCCAGCAGCTTCCTCACGTAGCTCATCCAGCCAGCAGCTGCCCTACACAGCTCAATTTACAGAGAACTGATTCCTTGAAAAACCCAAGA